AGATCAAAACAGAATAATGTGAATAATGGTTTTATTGTGGAGTCGATTCCAGCCAACACAGAATAGTCAATATCTGACTCATGATACTTCTCTGATATCTGGTCCTTTGGTGCCTGGCTACTCTGCCAGGAATAAATCAGACTCATGGGCTCACATTTGTCCCACTCTTGTGCTCAGCACAAGGCATTTTCTTTGGTCACTGATAGGGATCATGGACTGGATGGGCTCTTGTTCTGACCCAGCACAGAATTTTTCACCTTTTGCTGGGCTTGCTGGATTATCTGACCACGTATCACAAGTCATTAGACATCTCCCATGCAGGAGTGGCCAGGATTTTTTGTAATTAATCCATTCCCCCTAGGACAGCACAATCATCTTTCTTTGCCTTTTTAAAGTCACAGTCCACCTCAGCAAATAACTGTCAGCCCCTCTCCCTGTCACTACCCCAGGTGATGTTTTATTGGTAGTGGAGGCTCTGAGACACCACTTTGCCTAGAAATCCCCTTGAAAAAAAAAAAAAAAAGAAGTAGGTTACTGCTTTTTACAGGTTTTCATGTATAATAAAAAAGTTTTTTTTCTTTTCTTTCTATCTGCCAACATTCAGTAAAGACTTTTGACATGTGAAGATAGAAGGGAACTTAATTGCACACTTGGTTCTGACATTTTCCTTTGTCAAAATAAAAGAACCTTTAAGATGAACTTTCTCAACAGGTAGAAAGTAAAGGTTGGAGGAAGGAGAGAAGAGCAGTGCTGACAGGGCCGACTGGGGATAGTAGATTGTTTAGAAGCCAAAATGACTGACTGTTTTCAGTTGTTGAAAGGAACTGTTTTTCCTCTAAGGACCTGATTCATTAAAACTGTATGCTGCATTTACATACATTTCTGCTGAATACCTCTCTTTGCCTGAAAGGCTAAGATGATGCTGTCTTTTCAAGCAGTCAGTGTCTGGGTCCATACAGATGACAAGCATTTACAGAAATCAGGCTTGGATGGGGTCCAGCAGCACAGCAGGAAATAGGTTTCTGCATCTTCTCTTCTCTGAGTCAAGAGAGAGCTGTAGAATTCAAGGTCTGTATTCTTAACTTACACAACAGTGATATAGTGAAGGGTAAAACCAGTTTAGTATAATTTCCTTGCTGATAGCTCAGCAATGAAGGACCTTCTAAAGACCAAGAAGGCTGAGTTTTTCCACTTTTCCTTCCATTATGCTACTGTCCCAAAAGACAAGTTAACATGAAGAACCCAAACTTTATCTAGGACCAGATGTGCAATGAGTCTTCTAACTGAAATCACAGACCACAGAGGTGCTCTTTAGTGTTAGCAACTGGCCCCAGGCACAGGGATTCCATCTATGCTAACAAAGTAAACCACACACACACTGACTCATAAGATTTCAATTGTCTGTGTTATTAAAATGTTAGAATGGCTCATTGAATTCTCCCAGACATCTTCTGGGCACGTTCTGTGAGACAGCCTACAATGGGGTCTATTCTCAGGAAGCCACAGGGTTTAGGAGACTAGAGGAGAATAACTATAGACATTATCAGACCATGCCAAATCGCTTGTAGGTATGATGATGACCTCTGGCACTCTGTACTTTACTGTGTGGCACTGTTAACTAGGTTAAATGCAGTCCCTGTGACCAGTATTAGGTCAATCCAACTAGTATCAGGCAACTCAACTGAATGTCCTGATCATCTGGAGGTGATCGTGCCCTCCTGCCCCCCCCTGTCAGTGCCTATATTTCCAATACAGGCAATGGAGAACTAATTTGGAGAGGTCACTTTTCCTTTTTTAGTGACCTCTATCACAAACCAAGTGAAAGTAAGTGATGTCTAGTCATCCATGGTCCAGATAATATTCTGGTCCATAAATAGACCTGATTTGGTTTCTTTTTTTAAAAGTATATTGGTAGTATATTAAAAGTATATTCCTAAGCTAATTTGCAAACTGGCCCAATGCAACAACATCATAAGAGTGAAAAGGCCTTATTTTCAGGCCTTTCCTAGTGTTAGGGGTTATATTTAACCCTCAGTTGCTGAGGCATCCTGAGAAGCCTGAGGGAAGTCTTGAGAGGGAGAGGGAAGACAATAAGACCACCCATCCTTTACGAAGAAACTGGACTTCAATGCTGGTGGGAGACCAGAAAAGACAGAGCCTGAATTCCCACTACAAGCGGTCTTTCCTTCAGAACTCCTGCTGCTCAATTTGTCTTAAGGGTTTGGGGTCAAGAAGGCAAATCCAAAATATCCAGGACTTCGACTTGCAGATAAACCAGTGCACACAAGCAAATGGACAAGTACTGGTGTGTTTACACAAAGTAAATAATGAACCAATTTACACATTTAAGGCATTTTCTAATGCTAATTCAGCATTTTCTTAAACTATAAGCCTTGCTTCAAATGTAGGTGAGCTAAGCCAGTCTTAACTCTGCCAAACTGGGGCCAGTTCAGATGAAAAACCGCAATTTAAAATGCCAGTGTTAATTATGCTTCCAGAGGGGAACTATTGCTGTTCAAGAGATTCTGTGTGTTGTTTGCTCTGAGAATTTTGGGGCAGGGAAGCAAGAGTTGATTTGTTTGCCTTTAATTTCTATAACAGTGTTTCTGCCAAGGAATTGTGGTATGAATGAGATAGCTCAGGATAAGGTGAGAGTGTTATGGGAATCAGCTCTAAGGAAAGGATTACACCTGTCTTATTTAAGGATTTCTATTTTTCCTTTTAGACAAATATGTAAAGAATTCCAAGACCTTCTAAGTCAAGACAGATCACCCCTCGGATCCTCCAGACCGACTCCAATATTAGACCTCGACATCCAGAGACATTTAACACATTTCAGGTATGATTTTGAAAGAGAATCTAAATTAACTAAAAATCATAATTTTGATGAAGACTGCATGTGATGTTTTGATGGTATTTGTTCCCTTACCTAGAAGGCATCCAAATAAACAATGAATATCCATAATCCCTGCTATCTGTGCCTATAAAAAGTGCAGGTTTGCCCAGCAATGTAGTTCAAGCTCGCTGCATTCAACTTGCTTCTAGGACCACAGTCTGAGTAGAGTAATTTTATACATCTGCTGGCAAAATGTCCTCATCTGGCCAGAAAGTTGTCTTGCTCTGGGTGTGACCCAAGTCACAGGTCACAAGTGGATGGTCCAGAAGTGTAGAAACTCAAGTTCAGATCCAATGTAAATTAATCGAAGTAGAAATAAAAGGAGGAACAGGCTGCATCCTTCACAATTAACTAAATAGTTCCAGAACCTCTTCTATGCCACTGAGACCATTTGACATCATCTTACCATGACCATACTATTAACCTTTTGGCTTCTGAAGGACACTGACCTCAAGGTACATTATCTACTAAAACAGTTTTACTGCACTAATTCACTAATTTACTGAACAACACCTTGGAAAATTCTGGGAGAATGAAATCTGGCTCAGACTAAAAAGCCAGAGACTGCTACTATATTTAGCCTCAGCTCCTGGGCCTGTGCCCTAGAAATATTTAATGTACTGGTTTAAACAGCCTAAGAAACTGTTACGAAGATAAAGACCCTTGGTACCTGCACACCAACTCCAAGTTTCATCAGAATTTTATCCAAGCTATGGATAAAAGTGTGTAGATGTTTTGGGATCAAAAAGATTTATTAGCCCAGGAGTTACAGTGCAATTTCCTGTTTTTTGCTTTAGGCAATGCGTTAGATACAGTCAGGAGTAAGGTGGGAACTTCCAGAGGGCCACTTTAAAATAGTGGGGTCATCTAAGATATTTATCAAAGATAAGTTTGATGAAACATCCTAGAGGTGCTCTTGTCTTTGCTCAGACCACAGAGGGGAATATATAACTGGATGAGGCTACAGATTTTTGTTTTTTATTCCTTAACTAGCTGATACATGAAAAAAGTCATCATGTAAAGGATTGTTCTAGAAGGTTGTTTACAGAATATAACACTGAGCAGATTTTATAGTCCTATAAAGACTTGGAATGATGCTGTATATTCTCTGGCACAGCCAGCTGAGCCACCCTTCTTTCATTTTGTTGGACAGACAACTTCTGTGTCCCAGTATCCCAACATGTGCTAATTATTTAGATTCTAATAGAACATGAGGCACCCAGCAGCCAGGTAATGTGGTAACTTATCTTTAATCCCTTGGACTTTGAACAGAATCCAAAATACCCACCATCCCACTTCTTCCATATATCTGTTGGGGTGGGGTGAGAGGCAAAGGTAAATCCTGGTCCACAAATACACACACTGCTGTTCATTCTTACACATCTGTGCATCCTAGGCACATACAAACACACCTAGACAACCCCACTCCTATTCTCATGCACACAGGTACCACTTGGGTCTGTGTTTACTTTCCCTTATACACACACACTCCAAAACCCCTGACAATGCTTGCACACCAAGGGAAACACACTTATTTATGCAGAATACTCATAGAGGGATTTTAATGGGCTACCTAAGCTTGTGGAAAAAGAGATAATTCATTGTTACATGCACATAGAGTGTGATATGAGGTAGCTAAACCCCAAGGATTCCTGTGTTTAAAGAAGAAATAGCAGTTAGGATAAAATGCTGAATGCTTCAGCTGCTGAAGCTGTCAACTGGTACAGCTCCCATCCTTCTTTCTCTGCTGCACTTCAGTAGGTTGGAGTACAAAGCTTCTGCAGGCAGCTCCTGGATCATTCAATCCTTTCTTTCATTCTGCTGTGGGCATGAAGTGTTGGACTGAAGATGGGCACCTGGACAAGCACAGGTCTTGATCCTACACAGACACTTCTCTGTATTTAAATCAGTCTTCTCTGATTGTTCTTGTGGAATGATGAGTGCTGACAGGCCCAGACACTGAACTCAGACCGTATTTCTTTTCCATCTAGTGCAGAGATATTGAGGTCAGATCAGCTTCTGACCCAGACCTCTAAGTCTACAGTCCTATATGCAGGTGCCTCCATTTCACCCAGCTGTGCATCTTCTGCCATGGTCTTTGGGCATCTCTGTCCTAAACAGCTTGGGAAATCTGCATTACAGTTAAGCAGGTCTAACATAGACACCTACATCAGTGTGGCTTAAATTTCTCTCTAAATTCCACTGACTGAACAGTCTGGTCTAGATCTCCAACTGAGTGGAAGCTTGTCCAACTGCACTAGACACTTATACTGTAAACAGCTAAATCTAGTGTAGGCAAAAAAATCATTATTACTATCCCCTAAATCCAGCAATCTTCACTCCCATGTCATCCTAATCCCTTGTGCCACAATTTGTCTTCCCGAGATTACATATCACAGAACCACAGAATCACAGAATGGTTTGAGTTGGAAGGGACCTTAAAACTCATTTTGCTCCAACCCCCTGCCATGGGCAGGGACACCTTCCACTATTCCAGGTTGCTCCAAGCCCCATCCAACCAGGTCTTGAACACTTCCAGGGATGGGGCATCCATAAGATACTCCAAATATCACAGAAGTCACTTGAATCTGTTTCAGATGCTAGAGAAGGTGTGAGAATGTGATTCACCCTATTTTCCAGGAGCATTAACTGTTTTCTGTGTCAGGTTTCCAACACTGACTTCTTCTGACAAATCACTTGGTTTCTCTGTATTTCTCTGAGGGATGAACCCCAGGCCGAACCAACCTGTGTCACAGGAAATTGGACCTGATCAGTTGGGGATGAGAGAAGAGGAAGAAATTCTTGGTACCCCAACACACAGAGAAAGCTTGGTTGTCTTAATAAGTGGCTTGTCGTGATTATACATATGAAAATTAATGTTATTTATGACCAAAATGCCCAAGAGCTGTTGGTGCTCTACAGATAGGTCTATAGAAGAGGAGACATAGGTCTGAAGCAGTGACTCCCTACAGTCATCACAAATTTTATAGCATCTATATGTTAGATATTATCTATATACTTTTTCAATAGTGAATTTTTCATCTTCATTTATACCTTTATTCCATAACTCTGGGTTTTTTTTCTCAGTAAATTCTCTGTTTCTATGTTGTAGAATGAGACCAAAATATTTTATTTGGCAAGGATAAGTCAAAGTCTTTCTCTGGAATCTCTGGTAAGGTTTTGTGAAGGTTTTTAGCATAAAAATAATGTGGTTTTCAACCACTATCAAATATGAGCCAATTTTTGATCATGGGAAAGCTCAATATAGTATCATACTATTTATTCAGGTTTAATATAACAAGAAGAGGTTCCGAAATTTTGCCTTGTAAATCATAATAAAGGCAGCAAAGAAACAAGAAGATGACAAGTTGATATTTTTTACTTACATGTATGTGCCTATGCCATATCAAAAGTGTTCCAGGTTTAGATGGGGCTTGGAGCAACCCGGTCTAGTGGAAGGAGGTTGGAACTAAATGATCTTTAAGGTGTCTTCCAACCCATGCCATTTTATCATGACATGATGTCAGAAAGACACAGAGATTTTTTTTTATGACCCTAAAAATTCAGAGGAATCACACAAATCTCTATTATTAAAATAAGTGCTAAGATAGTGGAAGACTTTTTGAAGAACTATAACTTCTGATCCATACAGTGGAATCTGATCCACCTTGGGGTGAAAGGGGGTTTTCTTTAGGAATAAATCACCCTATAGCTTTTGAGCATGGAGTTATGTGCTGCACTGGCTTCTGATGTTACTTTCTCAATGTTAATTTTTAAGACCAGGGTTCACAGACTGGCACAGGTCAGTTTGAAGCAGTTTTTTCTGTTTCCTCTGTTTTAAATCTTCAAGCCCACACTTCTCTCTGAAGTTTTTCTGCTGAGTCCCAATTCATCAAGATCTGTAAACATGTGTCCAACCTGAAGTACAGGATAGTCCCCGTGAAGGGATCAGAAGTGCTGGGCTTGCTCAAACTCCCAACTCGAAGTTCACACAAAGCATAAAACAGGGGAAATCTTCAAAGGAGCTGCCAGTGAGCCCGAAAACTGCTGAATTTTGCACAACTTTATGCAAAAAAAAGAGAGGCTTTTTTACACCCTTGGTACAACCCTGTTTGTGCAGCTGTTCTCTGAGATGTCCATCCAAACTTAATTCAAAAAACTCAGTGCTCCACAAAGAATGATTTTCCCATATTGTTTGATCAGGAACAGGCAATTCTGTAGAGCCTTAAATTCATAGCAGCAATTGTTGTGCACCACCTGAGCCAGGGCTGTATTATGTTTGCTTCATTCAACATTTCTCCCTCTTCAATGTATGGAAGAGGGAGAATTTATATTGATAACTTCAGATAACCTCAAATGTATTAATATTAGCAAATAAAAGTAGTGCCAGGGCACAGGCACTGGCTACCTGTGCTGTTCTTTATTTGCAGAATTTTTGGTGGTTTTTTTTCCTGGTCTAACACTGTCCCAAACTATTCCTGAGCACAGTGATGCATATAATGTCACTAATAAATGTGTAACTTGAGCATTCATGGAAGCACCAGCCCTTATTACAGCACAGTCAGGTGCCTTACCTGTGCTAAAAATCTAGATTTAGAGAAGTCCAGCCTTGTCAGAGCTGGATCATAAACCTGATGGACTAAGTGTTGGGACAGCTTAGATTTCTAAGTATTACAAAAGTATTCAAGAAGAGATGATACGTTTTAGGGCTGCCCAAGCTGTCCTTCAGCTCTTCTATGAGCTGAAAGGATTGGAAGAGACCTTAAAGATCATTTAGTTTCGACCCCCTGCCATGGACAAGGACACCTTCCACTAGACTGGGTTGTTCAGATATCCATTCAGCCTGGCCTTGAACACCTCAAACAAAATTAATCCTATGGGTTGTATCTGGTCTGAAAACCACCACTTGAGTTATCCCATACCTGGTTTTCGAGGACAGAATG